GACTGCAGCCGAACTTTTTGTGGCCGAGTTGATTTGTGGCCGAGTTGACTTGTGGCCGAGTTGACTGTAGCCAAACTTTTTGTGGCCGAGTTGACTTGTGGCCGAATTGACTTGTGGCCGAGTTAACTTGTGGCCGAGTTGACTTGTGGCCGAGTTGACTGTAGCCGAGTTGACTTGTGGCCGAGTTGGATCGAATTCGGTACTACTACTAGGCCTAGGGCCTAGCTAGGCTACCTACTGACTTACCTAAGTAGGCTAGACCTAGTAGTAGGGTAGATTCTTTTGCTAATTAATTGGGACTAGGCTAGCCATATATTCAGGTTTCCAATGCCTTTATTTTTCACAGATTCACAGTAGTCTTTCTTTGTACGGTACCTCCATTATAAATTTTTTTTTTTTTAGGTTAATTAATTAAGGTCTATAAAATAAAACATGGTCTGTAAATATCGAGAATGCTGGAGCTTCTTCACCCAGTACCCCACAACAAGGGGCTATTCCCCACAGACTTACTTAAGTCTAGGCAGCCCATCCCATGGTGCTCTGTATGCTCACGTGCCCTTTTCAGTAAATTAAGAACTGTCTTTCAAAATCCAGGCTACAGGCTTGTTAACTTTACTGAATAGTGTGTCATATTCAACATATTTTTCTACGTATATCAAATAATAAGATTTCTGTATTAAGACACATAGAAAAAATTTTAGATTATCATTCCTATCCGCCTCAAAAATTTGGAAAATATTGATGTGGATTTTAAAAAAAATTTCTACCGCATCATTTATTTCAACACCATAAAAAAAAAACATGCAATTTTGTGACTGTAAATACATTTTCTTTAAGAAACAATTAAATTAAACCAATTTTTATTCAATACAATATTCTTACTAAATAAAAACAGTTTCACTCTCATCGATAAAAAAAAAAGGCAATATTCTATTGATCTGATTAAAAAGAGAAAATAAAAAAAGCCCACCCTTATCACTTAAAAAAAAAAAGAGATATTCTAATAATTTGTTATGCCATTAATTAAATGAGTAGTTCAAAGTCTATGCTGACTGACAAGATCAAAATGTGTAGACTTCTGAAAAGTTTTCTGAACAATAATGAGAGGTTTCTAAAGACACTGGCTATGTTCTCACACGGCAGCTAACGGTTAGCATGATCCAGATCCTGCTAACTGTTAGCTGCCGTGCGTCCATACGAGAAAATCCCGATCCGGATACCAAAAATATGATCATCGAATCACTGGCCAATAAGAAACTGGAAATTGTAAACGCGTACGTGTGATTGGTTGATGATAAAAACGTACTCAACTTGCTAACCGATAGCGCTTGCTAACCGTTAGCACTTGCAGTATCCGGATACTGCTAACGATTAGCGCTAACCAATCATCCGTTCTCACGCAGGTGCTAACAGTTAGCGCTAACAGTTAGCTCCCGATCCGGATACTAGGGCTCTCGTGAGAACCAGGCTTATGTCTTTAGTTGTGTACAGCCCCCTTGGTCCTTGGGTGTCTGAAGCAGCATCACTTTAATGTATGAATTTAATGATCATGTTATAAAACAAACTGATGAATATATTATGTTACCTTGAGTGTAATACTAAGACTAATAATTTTACGTGTGCATTTCTTCCTTTTCCTTCCAGGTGAGAATGGAAGGTGATTTGGATCATAAATGCACCATTTGTTTACTGTGAAATCAAATCTTACCCATCATATGAAGCTACATGATGAACACGAGAACTGAAGAATGATGTTTTATTGTCCCCACATGAAGTGGTAAAAGCTGCTCCTGGAGTTTGTCTACTAATTTCCTGCTGTGAAAATTGATCTTGATAACCACTTGAAAGTAAGACATGAATAATGCCAATAAGAACAACCCTTCAGTAATTGATAGTCAACACTATTTCTCAGCATCCGTGGTAATTACCCTCTATGTACTACTACAATACCAACATTACATTTAACATTAATTTATATTAAATATTATTATTTACTTATTTAATTGATTAATTATTATTATTATTAATTAATTATTATTTAATTATTTAGTTTACATTTTAACAATTAACTAAATTATAACTAAATTTTAATTTTAATTAATTTACAAATAAAATTTTAATTTTTTTTTTTTTGACTCTCTTCCTGTTTATTTCCCTTTTAGAATAAAGTTGTCATATTTTTACATTTACTTTCCAGAAGCACAAAGAGAAACAAGAACCACTGACAGACCTGGACCCAGATTACATTGAAGATGCTGAACTGTTGGCTGTTGCAGGTATGTTGGAAGCTCTTATGTGTTTGTGTACTTGCATTTATTAATGCAGATAGTTAGTGAAGGGAAAAAATACTCTAACTTTAAATATTAAATGCATTTTCACACCTCCAGTAGAAAAATAAAGACATAAAGAAATTTAAACAAAGAACGTTTAAGATGGCCAACAAATAAATTTTTTGTTTATTTATTTATAATTTCCTTTCTCTCCCCCCCCCCCCCCCCCCTCTCTCTCTCTCTCTCTCTCTTTCTCCAATTTTATATTTTAAGAAGAGATTACATTGTTAGAATGCAAATGTAAAAAAAGGGAAAGTTAACTAAAAAGTTGTTAATTAAAATACAATGGATTTAAGATAGATGTAATTTAAAAATGTAAGTGACATTTAATTCTGGGTTGGTTGATCAGCCTATAATCTGTCTCTTATACACATCTAGATGTGTATTGTCGTTAGTTGCGTAGTACATTTTTGTTTTCCATGGTAATTTAACTTTGAATGAAGCTCATTGCTGTTAATGTGTGTGTTGCTCATTGGTAATTAACATAATTAAAAGTTCACCCGTTAATTTTTCACATAATCACCATAATTCTCATCGAACATCTCTTTACTTAAAATGTGTATAAATTATATACTGGCACTGTATTATGGCCACCGTGGGTCCCCAAGGGCCTACTAGCTGCAATATCTAATTTTAATTTCCAAACTTGGAATCATAACGATGACATAACAATTCAAAAAAATAAATAAAACAGTGAGTCAATTTCCAGTTAAATTGAAATTATTCTACATAAATGTATTGTAATGAAATTTAAGTTTACTGCAGTTACTTCTATATTGTTGTTTCTGATTCTGTAAGCAATTTAAACTAAGTACAGAGACCACTGTAATTTACAGTGAAGCCTTTCCTGATAAGCTGCTTTTGCTACTATTCTAGTATCACACACTATGTGTGTAACATAGATTTTTAAAGTACAGTATATGATGTATGATATCAAAATGTCACTGCTGTAAATTTTTAATAAAGGACCTTACAAATTGATCCAAGGATTTACTGAGTTTAGTACTATCATTATTTTTTTGTTATTCCTTTAGGCTGCAGCGAAGGAATTACCACAGCAACTTAATGGTGATGATAATGATGACGCTGTTGATGATGATGTTTTAGCATTTATATAGCACTCTTTACTGGAGTCTATCGGCGCTAAAAATGTATGAAATATGAAAAAAGATTCCGCAGCCAGGATTTTCAAACAGTACTGGACAATATCTAGGTGGACCCACTTTATGCATAAATTAAAATAATGTTGACCCTTTCCTTAAAAGTTGACCCATTTTAAAGATAATTATATGTGGACTCATAAAATAACAGAATTATTATTTTTTTTTTAATTATGCGGTTCCAATAGAAAATGTGTGGGACCGTCCCCTGGGAGAGGAAGGTGAGCATCTTAACCACCAAGCTATTCACCTCCACTCACTACTTGCTAATCAAACTGGTGTAAAAAAACTTAATCACTATAACAAAATGTCTGTGGACCTCACTCATCTAGTTAACATAACAATAAATAATAAAGGTAATTTTGTTGTAACATTGGTTTAACAAAAATGAATATTTTTTGCCTTAATATAGGACAACTATAATATAATCAAACAAAATTAACAAATACTAGAAAGCAATCTTAATTTCTCAATTTTTTTTTAGTGCTACAAGTGCCATCAAGGGCCAATCCGCACAAACACAAAAAAAGAACTTGAAGAAAACACAAAAAAACCCAAAAAAAACAATACAATGGTAACCATGCATCATAGGGACGTTCTCCACTAGGGTCCAAATTACCCGCATCCTAATCGGTCTTTGCATCACGCAAAAACAAATTTTGAAGGCAATTATCAAAATTAGTGAAATACGAAAAAGAAAAAACTACTAAAAGTGGTTTTATTTACGGACTAGTCATTTTTAATAGCCTTTCATATAATAATGTTTCATTGATATTTTTCACCAGAGCCAAAGTTCATTCAAAACCAGCGTATCACTGGCAATCTTTATTTTAATACATAAGTGGCTTATTTTCTGGGTGGGTTTATTCCAATATTTATTTATTATTTACTGTACGCTTTCCAAACTTATTATTATGCTTATGTACAGCAGTATATTACTGTACTGTATCATAGTACGCATATTACATAGATGAGTACAAAGCTGTAGGCTATTTTAAGTTCTGTTTATAACGCCCATTTGTTATGTATGTGCAGGTGTGTGGAAAAATAAATGAAACAAACGATCAGGTGACCTCTTTGGAACAGTCACGTGGATCGTAGGGATCGATCATCGGACGGATGTATCCAGGGGGGTCGTGGCCCATTTCCAGAGAAAAACCCAGACATGTACAATAACTTTGCTCAACCTACCAATGATTGAGCCCTGTTGAGCAGAGCCGCTGTCCATTAGACCAATAATTGAGCAGAGTTATAGAGACGTCTCTGCTCAACAAACCAATCAGTGAGCCCTGTTGAGTAGACGGCAATGATGTCACTTAAGTTTACAATTTTCTGCTGAAAGTGGAGTAGATTGACCTGCACCCATAGAGCTATTAAACAACTAGAGTGCTGACAAGATGGCGGAGCAATGCAGAGTTATGTATGTGTACCATCCAAGATGGCAGTCGTAGTAAAGCGCCACCTTCGGGCTTAGTATACATATTATTACATATTAATAAGCCCTCTGACTGACTATTATTTCACTAATGACAATGAATAATGGTAATAACAAGTTATTAAACTATTGTAGCCAAAACGAGGCCAAGTGAAGCATCTTATTCAAAAATAAATTACCAAGGAATAAAAATTAAAATCGTATACATTACACCCAAACACCGCAACGCTCGA